TTCCAAATAGTTTTTTGCGGTGCTTCATGAAGGAAGGTTTCATCCGTCCATGCATGCATCCATCTATCGTTACTCCATCGATTCATCAGCCTTTTCACACCGATCCCCTCTTCCATATGATGCGTTCGTAAGCATTTGGTCGTCGTTGTCGTCGTCTAAAAACCATTATCCCTTTTGAAGAATCCGGCAAACTTTCATTACTCCCAATTCGAACGACAAGTGTATTAGAAGGGCATTATAGATTCTGAACGATCCATTGGAGTGTTCAGAGCTGAGCTGTGGAGTCCCTCAACCAAATTCACTTTGGATAAATAGATTTCCACTTTCTTCTGCAGTTTGATTACTTTGTGAACGATCCAACTTTCGAATCAGCTGCTTAACTTCGGTCTTTTGATTCACCCTTCTTTTGGTACCTTCCGTAAGATCGTCTTTGAAATGATCTCACGATGTGATAGGGATTACAAAAGTACCTTCTGAGTCCAACGATTTGCTGTCAAAGGGAACCTGGGGCTGGTTCATTCAGAGCAGAACATTTTGTTGAGTTCGAGTTTTGGCGAGTTTTTTCAAGGTTTGACCGGCATTCAATGGAAGTTGCGAACGGAATTTAGTGAACGTCGTTCCATTAACATTCGGAATGCCATTGTTGGATTGTATTGGTGAGAGCAATCGTTTGGAAGTAAAAAGGAAGATTTTAGCCAAACTGGACGCGAAGATGGAACACACAGTTCATCAACTCCAGAAAAATCGACGAGCGAAGACGACTATCAGCCCGATGCACCCGTCATAATGCCGTTCCATTTCACCAATTGGCTTTCGTCGAACGATCTTCAAAACGTCGACGGTGACGGTAGCCAGAGTCCTACGCAGCAGCAGCCACTGACCGCACCGCCGTCGGCATCGATTCCAGGTCATTTGCGAGAATCTGGCGGATCGCTGGAGGCACAGCTGCGTTTCGATCGACAACTACGACCGAAATCACTGGCCGTGGATTTGGCGACAGCAGTCGAGATCGGCGCATCGAAGCCGCCGTTGGTGGAACGGCACAACGGCCAAGATGCACCAGGCTGTCCAAAGCCTCCGGTAGAGTCGTTCTTTGGAATGCCGCTGGCAGCGATCTTAAGACGGCATCCTGACGGTGGCGGCGGCGGCTCTCCCGGTACACCGGCTTCCGCCGCATGTCGATCAACTGCAGCATTGACGCATCCGTGCTATGGCAGCACAAGTTTTGGAGTGAGTTATGGTACCGCGGTGTCTATGGGCAGCTGCAGTGAACGAGCGGATCGTTCAGGCATTCCGCTGGGAAGAGCCACAGTTTTTACGCAACAGTCTCAAAGACCACTAGCGCCTCGTACCAATGCAAACGTTTCATTGAACGGCATCCCAGTAACTCCTTCACGACAGCAAGCGATGAAATTCACGTCATCGCCAAGTAAACAAGACAATTGTATGGTCACCTCCGGAATCGGTGGCGAGAACACAGCTCGTGTATCCTCCGTTTCATCAGTTGCCTCAAATGGAAGGTTAGTTTATGGGCAGTTTCGCAAATTCCTTACCTATCACTTAAAATTTCCTACTGTCGGTTTTCATACTGCTTGCGTGATAAGTTGCCAATGGCATTGAGCTATTAAGCCGCTGAGATGTTTTTAACTGGTTAGAGTTTGGAACTTAAGCTCAGTTCTGGAGGAAATCAGACCATGTGCAGCTGGCTTGAATGCAAGTGAGTGGAACAGCTTGATGAAGCAAACTAAGGAACGTTCCCGGTGTTTCGGATGATCTCTTAGAGCTTCAAGACACC